CTCCTGGCATCGCTACTAGGAGCAAGGACGCTACTAGGGGCTCCTGGCCGTACTACTCGGAGCAATGTTCGCTACTAGTTTGTTTTTCTGCAAACGAGTTTCTTCGGGATTTCTCCTTTGGAGAACCCGCACGGAACCGAGTGCACCAGACTGGAGTACACGTAACTCCACTCCTTGAGAGTGCGAGTAAAAAAACTGTGATTTAACTAAAGAAACTGTGAAAAGAATGTTACTACTAGCTTCTTGTTACTACTAGTAAGGCACTTTGTTACTACTAGCGTGGCACTTGTTACTACTAGCTTCTTGTTACCTTTAAACACCGTGTCCTTTTTGAACAAAACATGTTTAAATAGATTTACAGAAGGCACTGAACATCGAACACTTTTGCACATCATCAAAACCAATGCGGCCAAAACAAAAAAAAACGGCGCGGAATAAACTCTACACGGCTTGCAATGCCTTGCCGCCCCGCTCAGCGGTTCCACAACTCAACTTTGGGCCGCCCTCCGCTTCGCTTGAGCTTCTTCCGTTCGTGCCTCGTAGCGTGAAGGCTTCAAGTCAACAAGGACGCTACTAGGGGCTCCTGGCATCGCTTCTAGGAACAAGGGCCTTACTACTAGGAACAAGAAGCTAGTAGAAACAAGAAGCTAAATAGAATTTAGTTAAATTCTAATTAGAAGTGAAGTCAACTATTTTTACTAAGACCGGGGGGGTTAGGCCGAGTAGAGGAGAGAGGAGGTAGCTCTACTTCGGAAGCACCATAGTTCACGTTTTCTTCCAGGAAATTTCCCCCCGCCGCCTTTACTAATCATTTGGTTCCTAGATTGGAAACCAAATCATGAGTGCGAACGTGAGCTATCCTGCGTCCTGCTCCTCAGAGTGTGCTTTTAAAAAAACTCTAAAAAAGATTGACTTGAGTTGCGCACCTTCAAAACCAATCGCCTGGCTTCTTCCATGTGTTTGTGGTCCTTCCACGCACAAGAAGCGGTTGTGCTCTGCACAGCTTTCATCATACGAACGGCTGTTTTAGCCTTGCGCTACATGCACAATGTCATATATATATTACTACATATGCAGACTGGACGAACATTTGTTCATTTTTGACTGGGTTGCGGAGGATGGTGGATGCCCGCCAATCCTTATCGCTTTGCGAGCTCGCCCTCCTTTTCACTTGTGTAACTTCACCACAACAAGTGACAGTCAACTGATTACCAAGCTGTACGTTCCACCTTTGGATATACGAGTACGTTTACGCCAGCGGGCTCAATATTGACATAAATCATAAATCACAAACAACACATCACGAAACAGGGTGGCTACAAAGTTACTGGAAAGTCGCAACGAAGGTTCGTGTCACTAGATGTAGCCTGTCACTTTGGGGTTGCTGGAAAGTCTTCCTGAGCAAAACGTTTGGCTGCCGTCACGCTTTTGTGGCTCAGTTATGATGGTTCTGATTTCACTACTTTTAATGGTGCTCGTCACCGGTCTTTGCAGCATAAACCTCTACCTCAACCAAAGCTTGCAAGTCCGGAACGGCTCAGCACACCACGGTGCGCCACAAATCCGTTGGATTAACAGGGGGTGCCGGGGAAATGAGAGTGCTACTAGGAACAAGTGCCTTACTAGTAGTAACAAGTGCCTTACTAGTAGTAACAAGAAGCTATTAGCTTATTTGCTCCTAGTAGTAAGGCACTTGTTCCTAGTAGCAGGCCGGGGGAATGAGAGTGTTTCAGCCTCACCTTTTGCAAGTCAGTGTCACCTAGTTTGCATCGCGGCATCTAGTACAAAAATCTAGTCCACAAAGAGGGCAGCCCAGTACACAAGAAATCGTGATTAATATCACCACCTACAAGAATGTCTTCTCTTTAGGTCTTCAATCAAAAGACACCTCCGGGAATAATGTCTACGGATGTATTTTTCTAAATAGTATCTACCCCTAGGCCCCAAGAATACTGTCTACACGTTTGCTCTGGTATGGTTTAAAACACCTCCTGGAATACTGTCTATGCCTTTCAAGGTTAATTAGTTCACTTATTCGCATTCCTAATTAATTGCTGATTTCCCTTCAAAATACTGTTGATTCCTATTGAGTTCTTTCTGAATTATGTTTAACATCTTTCATCTAAATACTAAAATACCTTTGACAGTGTTTCACTAATTTTCACTAATTTCTTCAACTCCCTTTGATACATCTTATTAAAGTTTACCAGAATCTATTCCTATTGATTCCCCTTTAATTCCTTCTGATTTCATGTTCATTTGCTTTTGATCCCTTTCGATTTCATTGTGATTCCTTTTGATTAAAGATAGTCTTTTAGAATCAATCAATCAGGAGACTCATGGATGCGACGGGGGCTTATTATTCATCAAGAGTCAACATTAAGAGCGATGGCCTCCACCCAAAAGGGTTTCATGAGAGCACAGAATCGATCTGGAGCAGCGTAAGCTCCAACAAGCCTAGTAGCGTCCTTGCTACTAGTAGCTTCTTGTTATATATAGTAGTACGGCCAGGAGCCCCTAGTAGCGTCCTTGCTCCTAGTAGCG